TAGAAGTAGTCAGAAGAAGAGAGCATAATATGCTATACGGATGATACCAATCTGCTTGTAGGTGGAAATAATCTCACTGAGGTTAGTGATAAAGGCAACGATATTTTTATAATGGCTTATGACTGGTTCTAGGAAATAAATTGATATTAAACAAAGAGAAAACGGATTTACTTATGTTTAGAACTAAATTATGTAGAGTTGAAATAATATTACGAATAGGGATTGGTAAAGAAAATATTAGTATTGCAAATAGCACTAAATTCTTAGGTTTACAAATTGACGAATTTCTTTATTGGTCTGAACATATTGATTATCTGCTAAATAAATTAAATTTAATGGAATTAGAGTCGTTGCAAATTATATGAATAAGGAAACTTTAAAACTTATGTACTTTGCAAACTTTCAGTCGCGCAGGAGGTATGGAATTATCTTTTGGGGGGTAGTGGTCAACTACAGAAAATTTTCGTGGTTCAAAAGAGGACTCTTCGCACTCTCAAAAAAATGCAATTTAGAGAGAGCTATAGAGGGGTGTTCAAGGCTGAAGGTATTTTTACTGTATATGCTTGATATATTTATGAAGCATTGATATTCTTTTTTAAAAATCGAAAGGACTTCGAACTACAGATATTTCATAAGATATAATACCAGAAACCTAAATGTAAATTACCCTATTCACCGTTTAACCTTAACAGAAAAGATTGTATAATAAATTACCAAATGAGGTAAAAACAATTGCAAATCTAAAAATATTTAAATACACAATAAAAAAGTTATTGATAGAGTTAGAACCTTACTCCATAGAAGATTTTTTCTGTAATATTTAAATAATTAGTAAAAATTTTAAATAAATTTGTAAAAATATCTAATGCTTTTTCCTTTTTTGACGCCGATTTCCTTTGTGTTTGGTATGTTATTTTTAGGCAATGTATTTATGACACAATGTGAAATAAAGTTGATTATCATTATTATTATTATTATTATTATTATTATTACAAAGCTACGACTTAGAATTCTTAAAATATCTTTAGCGAATATTAAAACTTTTACTACTTTCTCGTCCTATGTTACTAAATATGGATATTATATGGAGGTTCCATTAATTTCACGTAGTATATTCCCATAAGCTCCACATTTGTTGATCACCCATTCAAAGTATGAAAAAAAGTTCATGTGTTTTGAAAAATGCCTACTAAAGGGGCTGGAGCCGATTAAAGATAGGAGCTTGAAGATGGTTGACAATGATAATGTCTAATTCATTTTTTTTTTCGGTCCATTTAATAGTAAGAAATTTCAATAGTCCGTCTATAATACATTTAAAACTAACCGGTTGAATACCGATCTTTGCGTCGTCCAATGAAATTAAGTAGACGCTTTATAATAAATTATTTGATACAAGCCGTACAAACGTCTGAATATTTCTCAAATATTTACCATAAAGTTAAAGTAAATTGCGCCGATATTAAAGAATTAAATTTGGCAAGGTTGGTCAATACAGAAACAATGGCGCAAAGATACCGTGAGATTCTAAAACGCACGAAAGAAAAAATCACTCTTTCTGTTCCTGCGACGCAACCGACAATAAGCCAAACATTTTTTTCAAAATCGTAAAGATTTTATATCCGCTAAGCAAATAACGTCGGTGCTAAAATTTTATCAAACGGCGGCTTAATTGCGTTGTACAGATTTCGTCCTCTTGACCAATATTGCACAATTTACTTCTAAAGGCCGTTGACAGGGCACAATAAAGCTTGCAAGTTATTGCCAAAAGAATTTGCAAGGTGAACAACATTCTATTGACATGATGGCAGTATTGTTAACTTTAAACGTAGAATCAAATATACCCGCTACGCTGCTGGTCAAATAATTTTTCAACTTGTATACTTACTTACAACTATATAGTATATACTATACTTGTCAACATAAAAAAGTTGCATTTAATAGGTTGGCGACACAAAAGTCACTAGAGTTGTCCCCAGAATTGCAATCTGCGAGCAAGAAAAAAAGCACCGACCAGAACAAATTACATGCAAACCTCTTACAAGTATCACCTGTCTGCTAACTTCGCATGCCCTCGAACAATATTTCTTGTTCCTTGCATTGCATTTCCATGTCGAACGACCTTTAGCATGATTTAGTACAGTTAGAAATTTTAGAAGCCAATACAATACGTACTTCGTTCAAATTTATGAGTTGAGGCTTTGCTAAAACATTTCAGAACCTCACGGTGCCTAGTTTCTCATACACTGCAATGCTGCAATGCAATAATCACGTCCACGACTCACGTACGATATTTCTATCCTATAAACTCCTCTAATTGAATACCTTCAACAAAATCAAAATTTTTGTGGGTATACCAAGACATGTTTACAGATATACTTACGAATGATTCAAAATAACTGAACCAGCGATAATCATGTATGTATGTTTGCACAAATTTACCGACAATCAGAGGGACCTTGCCAACTACACAGCACAGCACAGCGCCATAACAAACCACCCATTTTAGACAGTGTGCGGTTCAAGCTTGTTCTAGACAAGACATCTAGACCAAACATCAAATGACTCTTTGATGACGTAACACCCGGAAAAGCCCAAATTGACTTGCCACAGTGTTTAAGCAAGTCGGAGTTGCATGTAAAAGCAAAATATTTCTGCAGCTGTAGAAGATACCTAATACTGAACAGTTTCTATACAACTTATACGGCATTTTGCGATACTATGTACCAATCAAAAACAGTTTGAAAATATTGAGGCGCAAAATTAAATGCGCATTCTAGATTTTAGTATTTAGTATCCTTTAAGTAACAGCTATGCAGTGATTTTAGATCAGCTTTAATTATTTCAAAATAACTTGTGTGACAAACGGTACACAAATTTTAATGCTAAATTAATAAAATCAAGTATCAGTTAGCAAATTATATGTTGAAAATGTTAAGTTCTCAAAAGAGTATGATGATTCTTCTTCTTCTTAGTTCTAGTTCAATTAAAATCAAATTTTCTTGATTAATAAGTGCATAATTTATGTCTAATCCGTTGTTGTCAATTTTAATAGAGCCACAATATATGATTATAAAGTATATATTTTCATTAAATATTAATTTTGTCCAAAATTTCGATTAAATTAAGGATAATTTTTTTGTAATTTCTCATTCTTAATACGAAATTGTAGCTTTTAACAGATTTTTATATTTAAGTGCCAATTAAATCCATGCTTCACCCTCTGAACATTTCAAGTTGTTGTTTCAAAAACTGAGGGGAGTGGAGGGTGTTAATGCTATTCCATTCTAATTCGTCAATATTATGCAGCGAGTGTAGAAAACGGCACTTGCACGTGCTTAATAAACTGAGTGACATAAAAAAATTACCAAATGTGTTGCATACCAAACTTTTTCTACGACCATTAGTATCTGGGTAATTTTTTACAAAACAACACCAAAAACATCCGATTGCTCCTAAACTCGTGCGGTAAAATACCGGAAAGGGCCGAAGTGACTCGGATATGTGTGAAACGAAACTGACATGGAAAAATGACACGTTGCGCACTCTAGATTCGTCCATAATTGGGAAAGGGAGTAGAAAAAATTATGTAATAATAATTCAACAAACATTAAAAATAATAAAATATTGTTTTATTTTAACTGTTGTACATTATTTATATTAAATGTTTAAAGCGTTTAAAAATGGATGGAATAAAGAGACATTTAAAATATTTTTCTACGACCGTTAGTTTTTGGGTACATTTTCGCAAAACAACACAAATACATTCACTGACATGACCGTCAAACGTCAAAATTCAAAGCGTGGGAAATATCTCCGAAAACGTCCGATTGCTCCCAAACCAGTGCGGTAAAATCCCGGAAATGTCCGAAGTGGCTCGGATTCGTGGGAAACGAAACTGTCGTGGTAAAGTGACGCTTACCGCAGGCTAGATCGGTGTGTAATTAGGTATTTTACAGACGGGAGTAGAAAAAAGTATAGTATGCAACACGTTCGGTAAACTTTTTAACTCACTCGTTTATTAAAAACTCGCTCCGCTCGCGTGAAATAAACTCGTGAGTCAAATGTCGTTTACCGCACTTGTTGCATAATACACTATAACATGTTTACTATTTACAAATCTTCTGGATTTCTCCTACATCAAACTTGCGCATGTTTCGTCAATCATCCTGTTGGCTGAGTTAACTAAGTTTCAGTTAATCTCTGAAGAAGCCAACATGATGATTGATTTATAAACAAATAATGCAGGAGAAATCGAGATTTGTAAATATTGTATAGTATCCTGCGGAAGTTCATTTGGAAAATGTAAAATGTTTGTTTATATATCAACAGCATTCTGCATTCATTTTCTTCGAATCTGCCTGGAAGTTTAAAAAACATGCAAATATTTGTATAATAAACATCAACATTTGTATAATAAACATCAACATTGTCTAACAGATTTCAATAAATACAATAAAAACGCTATTTAAGATAACACACATTAAAATGATTCAATTATTATTTTGTTGAATTTTTTGTGGTCAGGACACATTTAAAAAAATGTCTCCCCTTTTACCAATTATAAATATTGAGCAACTAAAGAACTGCAATAATTTTCCCAGGAATTGAAAGTATTTAGTCGGATAGTCGAAATTTTCAAATTTTTGCTTATTTAAAAAAACACACAATATTTCCGGTGTATATCTGACAGACTCTTGATGAAATTTGCTGTGTTCCCACAGTGTAAAGTTGCAACAAAGCAGCTGCAACACATTCGTATTTAATATCAATTAACGCTACCATATTCATTAATTAATTCTAACCAAAACAAATTTTAAATTAATATTTCATAAATCGGTATCTAGTCCCATCCCATATTAAATGAAGTCACGTACATGAAATCCGTTCGGAACATTGTTATTGTTAAGACACGATAGTTTAAAATTTAAATAAGCAGAGTGATAGCGCTGGCAGTGCCAAAATATGAATCCAAGTGTAAACAAGCGTAGCGATTATCTTTCGCTCTTCATATTTAAAGCGAATGTTTTGCGCTCACGAGTCAAATTTTTTCAAACGTTTTGGTTGCGTCGCCGCTCCTCCGACCCACATAGATGGGCACCAACTTTATCTGAAAAACGCCCGCTAAATTACAACAATGAAGTGGGTTTTAGGGGGAAGGATGCAAGAAAAAGATGACGGGGGCAAATTAACGCAATATCTTGCTGTGTTAAGTGGTAAGTTTTAGATTGATAGATTCATTTAAAAACATTTCTGTTAATTAAAAGGTACTTTCCCTTTGCCGTTTTACTCTTTAATGGAACAATTTTAATCAAATAGGGCCTATATTTCAATTCCAAGGAAAAGGAAAGTTACATTTAAATGTTCGAAGAAAATGAATAACGAGCCTTAATTTGTAAAGAAACCTTTTAAATCCAACAAATAATATGTTTCTTTATTCTATATGTATTTTTTAAAACAAATTTTATGAATTTGGAACAATTATAATAAAACAATCTTTCATTAAGATTAATTTCATTGTTTTTTAAATAATTATTAATATAAAATCAAACATTATATCAAAAGTTCTGCAACGTACATTTTCAACAAACAATCACATTCATGCAACATAAAACAAAGAGAATTTATATATTTGATGAATTGAAATGTTTGACGAATTAAAATTGTTGGAATTAAAATTATCAACAAATAATTTAATTGGACGCTGCCGATCGCGGTGGTTTATGAAAGTTTAATATTAAGTTTTATTACTTATTTTTAAATGCTAAAAATTAATACGGACATTTCTCAAACTGTGTGGTGATAACATGAAATACAGCTAATTAAAAATTGGAGACTTCGATTCCATAAATAACAGATAAATTATTATCATAATTAAAATATAAAGATTACTCTTTATGGCTGCAATTCGTTACTATATTGTGCAATAAACTGTGGTGTGCTAAAAAGGTGCAAAAAATGAAAAAAGTATAGACAGTTGCCTGAATTTTTCTGATTTTATATGAAACATGATCAGGTTAATTTTGAACAATTCAATTAAAAACTAAGACCCTGTTTAAGACACAAGAGTCAGAGACGGGAAAAAAATCCAGGCTTGTTTCTTGTGACTAAATTTTCATTTTTTAAATTGTTTTGATCTAGTATTACTTATTATTCATCATCTGCGTTCATTTATTTCTTAATTTGGTAAATTTCAATGGACGTAGTTTCAAAACTTAATAATAACTAATAATAATTTACATATTTACATTACGAATACATATTTTCACTCGACAACTCTTCTAAAAAATATATTTTTATCTCCAGTTTAAATAATAATGAGCTAATACGTAATGCAAATATTTAACACCAGTTTCAGGACAGCCAGTATTTGCAGAATTCAAACACATGAATGATCATTAGCAACACTAAGTATAATCTACAATTATTATTATGCGTAGTCACGTAATAATTTAGATAAGAGCGTTAACTCCTAATCGTCGATTGTAAATGCAAAATATAAATTATTATTTCCATATCCTATTCTCCGAAAATAAATCTCCAATTTCTTTCCAGTGGTACTGCAGTTGGTCTAATACTCTATTTCATTACAGCCACTGTCGTTCTCTTCACGTCCGGTCTGTACCAGGGATGGCCTGCTCCATCGTTAACCAAAATATTTTCTGACGAGTACCCATTCGAAGTTAATGAAGAGGAAGGCTCGTACATTACCATAATTGGACCGATGGGACACGTAATTGGTGGTTTCATATGGTCTTATCTTTTAGACAAGATTGGAAGAAAGAAGGCTTTGTTGACTATCTCGATACCACAGGTAAATGGAGCTAGGAGTGTCTCCTATCTAGAATCCTAAAGTAATGTTCAATTCCAGATTCTGTCCTTTGGTCTTATATTCTTCTCGTCTTACGGAAAGTACCTCCTCTACATCGCAAGAGTGTTGGGTGGTATGGGCGAAGGTGCTTCATTTACGGTGGTGCCTGGCTATATAGCGGAAGTCGCCGAACCAGAAGTACGAGGAATTTTAGGTTCTTTCATATGTTCATCAATTAGTATCGGTCTCTTGGTCATCAATTTGGTGGGATCTTTCATGGATATCCATGCCACCGCTCTGGTTTGCCTCGCGTTCCCCATATTCTTCCTATTGATATTCAGTATCATGCCAGAGACACCATATTTTCACTTAATGAACAAAGACGTCGAAAAAGCAAGAGAATCTTTGCAGATTTTGCGACGACAACACAATGTGGAGAAAGAGTTGAAGCAGCTAACGGCCGATGTAGAACGGCAGATGTCGGAAAGAGGAACATTCAAAGACTTATTCTTTATAGATTCCAACAGAAGGGCTTTAATAATGGTGGTATGCATGAGGTTTTTCGGTTTATTCAGCGGAGCTGTAGCGTTTGCGTCTTACAACCAAATCCTAATCGCCCAGTCGACGAATATAGACCCAACCCTGGGTTCCACGATTATCTTAATAATTTTAATAGCCACCGTTTTCTTGTCTTGCTTTTACATTGACCGTATTCGCAGGAAAACGTTGTTCACAGTTTCTTCCGCGTTTGTTTCTCTATCCCTATTTAGCCAAGCAATTTTCTTGACCATCAGAGACTATACGTCAGTTGATGTATCGTCCTGTTCATGGCTTCCCCTGCTTATAATGATCATTTTCAATTTCGCCTTCATGGCTGGAATCGGAGTGGGTGCCAACATTTTCATAGGAGAAATCTACTCCACTAGCATAAAATCCAAAGCTATGTTCATAGGGTCGGTGGTGTTCAGCACATGCGTGATCTCCACGACCAAGTTTTACCAATATACCGCGGATAACCTGGGACTGGCTGTTCCGTTCTATTGTTTCGGGATAATTACCTTTTTCGGGACGCTGTTTTACCACTTCGTTATGGTGGAAACGCAGGGAAAATCTCTGGAAACCATACAGCGGGAGCTCAAGGGGATGAAGGATACGCCTAAATCGACTGCTTGACACCGTGAAAAGGAATCGTTTATATGACTGTGATATTTTTCATCTTGCTTTCTAAATACATGCTCCTATTTATCTTTTCTTGATTTTTTTATTTTTTGGGTCAGATTCGGTAGAGATACCCGTAAGATCTTTGTCTGACTAAGATATTTTACAATATCCATTCCTCATCATTTATATTTGTGGTAATAAATATACTTGTATATGTATATGAGAATCTTGGCGGGCTGTGATCCTTTGGGATTCCACCACTGCAGCAACATTCGCTTGATAAATATCCTTGCAATCTCTACGAAAACTCTAAAGTCTCGAGGAGTTACTTAATGTATATATATATATATATATATATATATATATATATATATATATATATATATATATATATATATATATATATATATATATATATATATATAATAAAACCTTTAAGACATTTTTAGTAGGTAACGTTCTTATCAACAAAACAGGCTACTCGTAAAGAGTAAAACAAGTTGCAGTATATTATAGTCACGATATTCCGAAGTTACGAAATTAATTTTCGCTAATATGAACTTGAATAAGGTAAAACATCCAAAAAACAGTTTTACGTTAAACTGTTTAACTACTTACTCAAATGTTTAACTTGTGAAATGTGGATGGGACTTGTCATAATACCTAGGAGTTTAAAACATATTCATTAGCTTTTATGCAATAAAAATCAAGTTTGATGACCACAGTTGCAAATAATAAGAATTGTTATATTGTTATAAAAATAGGATATACTAAATAGATTGGATGATTTTCGAAATACTTAATGCTTAAATTATTTTGCTCTTTTAGTCTTAGTCTTTAGCCTTTTAGTCCCAAAGAAAAAAGGATATAGCGTGTTAAAGTGAAAAATTAAAATGATATATTGGTCAATATTTTATAGCTGGTAACTTTTAGACAAATATAATAACTACCTACACATTTACATTTTTTAGGGCCGTCATATCATCATTTGTGAATAAACTGCGCCTTGAGAGAATCATATATTGTAATATTTTAAATGTCAGTTCCACAACTTTACAGTATAACTTTATTATTATTATTATTATTATTTATAATTCGCATAATTCACAACCAACTTTCTACTACTACAAACAGAAGGCAGTCACTTAATTTTTTCTTGACCACGGTTTACTAATTTTATAGATATTAAACAGTTTGTAAAATATCCAATTATTCAGATCCATGCTATTATCAGAAACACTAGGTATTCTTATCCTGAGTAAGCGACGGCAAAAGTGATAAATCTGGCATATTAGGTACAAAGCCGTGGACAAAGGGAGGTCTCTAATAATACGTGAACGAAAACGTTTCCATCACAGACAATAATACGTGATATAGGTCACATCGAAGCGCACTTACGTAATACGTATGCATCCAATTCAACATTTATATTTCATATTGATTTTGAGTTTACGTGACTAAGGTATAAATTTCCGAGAGCTGGATGCTGCCGCTAGCTGCAGGTCCCTGTGGAGAAGGGGTCGCCGATTCGAGGCCTGCAAAATTGCGCCGCCCCGCATTTGTTTGTCGCAGTTTCGAACCACACGGATGGATGGGGTTGAAAATGCGCGCTTTTCCACAAGATTGGCAATTTCCATTTTGGCAATGGTGGTCGATTTGATAACTCGCATCGTCGTCGCGATTATTGAGCACGTAGGCACGATAGGATGAATGTTATACATTTTTCCTCTGTACGTCTAGGATAGTTTAAAGAACTCACATTCTCTCGAAGAACTGAGCTAAGAAACGCAGTGTTCGCTGATCGCTGACACCGAATACAGATGGGACGAGAAACGTCAGTTTCATGTCGCTATTTGGTATCTTTCGTATTTGCTCTCCTTTGATACTCTTCTTTAGCACATATAATAAGTGGTAAATGTAAGACGTAGAAGAAGTACCAAGTTTGACAATATTGAATTCAAAACATTTCCGTTATATTACTTTTCGTGTTGGTTACTTCAGGTTTTTAAGATGTCGCAAGCCAAGTAGGATTGGCAAAAAATTAATATATAGTGCCAGTCTTCACAGAAAATGTGTTAAAACCCGAGCTAACAGGTTTGAAAGTGCAACACACGATAAATCATCTAAAGTTTTTTTTAGACTTTCATGCTGCTTTACTAGTTTATTAAAGGATATTTCCGGGACACGACCTTGGATTATTTAAGTCTGAGAAAAGATTCTGGAGCTTATTAATATCCACCGTTCCATCTGCATCCCTTTTTTTTATGCATTTGTTTTGTTTGCAACCAAATTTCTGAAATGCATTTGGGTAAAGGATCAACTTGTTTCCATTCACTTTTCTATACTTTTTATGCAATAAAAATCAATTTTGGAAGTAATTTGATGAAACAGTTGCAAATAATAAGAATTGTTATATTGTTTTAAAAATATGTTATAATAAGTAGTTTGGCGGATTTACGAAATGCTTATATTATTTGGCTCTTTTATTTTCCACCTTGTTCACAGTTATATGTTTACAGTCGGCCAGGCAACTCTTCACCACGTTCTCTTTGGAGAATTTTCGATTGTCCTGGAGTACACAAAAAAAACACACTAAACCATTCGTTTCACGTGCCAGTGTTGAAAAAACTATAAGCTCCCTTTTGTCCCTTGATTGGTACAACTTTTCTAGTTCTGAGGACGTCAATGTTATGCCACATTTTTTGTTACACAACATCCAAACTTCCCTCTAAAAAAATGTCAGTTTAAAAAATCGCCTGTAAACTGGTTTACGCAAGATCTAAAACAACTCATAAGTCGAGTCCAGGCTGCTCAAACTATAAGTTTGGTCTCAAAAACAAACGCAGATATACACAGATATAAAAACATTGAAAAGCATTACAAGAACGAGATAAAAACAACTAAAAAACATATTAAATTCCGATAACAGGCCCAAGGACATATAGAGACTCATTAACTATGAACGTAATTATATAAAAAAATTCAATAACTTAAACGTCACCAGTGACGAGTTTAACAATTCTTTTTCGACCATTGCTGATAATATCTTGCTGCTGCTTGATATTGATACGGATTTTCAAAGTGGTTTAATTAGTCAAATACCTTTTAATGAAAGTTCTTTTGCACTTAATTTTGTTACTGAATTAGAGGTAAAAGCATCTATTCTCAGTCTAAGAAACCCTAGTTGCTCTGACGCTTATGAAATCGATGTCAATTTACTAAAAAAACTTTATTGATGTTCTGGTAATTCCACTTACCTTTTTTTTAAATAAGTGCATTCAATATGGCATTTTTCCATATGCTTTAAAAATTACTAAAGTTATTCCAATCTTTAATTAACAATCCCGGAGACTATCGCCCCATATCCATAGTGCCACATATCGGTAAGATATTTGAAAGGGTTATAAAACCACAAATAGTTAATTTTTTTGAGCAGCAGGATATCTTTGGGAATGAGCAGTTTGGATTTAGGGAGGGGCGCTCTACCATTCAAGCGATAAGTAAGGTTATGGGAGATGTGGTGGTGGGCCTTGAGACTGGAAATCGACTGTATCTCGCACGATCTTCTTAAACAGACGCTGTTTAGGTATGGATTTCGCGGTTAACAGGATCTTATTTATTAGACAGGGAACAGTTTGTGGGCGATGACAGACGTAAATCCTCTTTGGTGAAGGTCTCCAGTCCATACTAGGCCCTGTATTTTTTATAGTGTATGTGGCTGATCTATGCCGTTTTTTGGGATCTGTCAAGTGTGCTTTATTTGCGGACGATGGCAGTTTTACCTTATATGGTCCGAATTGGAATGACCTGCACAACATTATTGGGCAACTGGAGAGTAATGCGAACAATTGATTTAAAAACAATTATTTGTAATTGAATACGAACAAAACACAACAAATATTCTTTTCGCTAGATAAATACAACAACGGCGAACGGCAGTCGGCTAAATTACTTGGCATTACACTTGATAGTAGACTTGACTGGAAAGATCATATTTTATCTCATAAGCGAAAACTAACTTCCAGTTTATTCGTCCTTGTGTCCTAATGACAGTGTATTATGCTTTATTTTATTCCCACATATCATATGACACAAGATTATGGGGAAACTCTGTCAATGCTGTTCAAATATTCAGGATAGAGAAAAGAATTCTTACTGGGGCTAAGTACAATGAACACTGTGCTCCATATTTTAAAAAATATAAGAATGACACTGCCCTGTATCTATATTCTTCACAATGTTTTAGAAATTAAGAAACATACTAATATATTTGAAGGTGTGTCTCATAGTTATTCAACACGTGCAAAAAATCTTATAAGAGTTCCAAAGCACCTACTTGTTACATCAGACAAAAATTCTTTAAACATTAACTTGTACAATATGCTGCCAGATAGATACACACATATGACTTTTGAGGTGTTCAAAACAAATATTAAAGTGTTGCTTATTGAAAATTGTTTCTATAGTGCGGACTAGTACTCCAACAGAATAAAAAAATAAAATTAAAATCCTTGGCTTACTGAAATGTGTGAAGATCTTAGCATACTATCTTGCACTTTCTGTACGATTTTTATACTCCGTGTTAGTGTTGTTGACCTTTACATTTGTTATTGTTCACTATTGTGTTATTTATAAAATACGTTTTTTTTTACACCTTTATATTTTTTACATTTTTGTATTTTACCTTATATTGACATCCTGCAATTGTATTATTATTGTATAATATGTGGTTAATAAAATTCTTCTAGAAAACACACGAATAATTAGTATCCCTATTGTTTTTTAATGCATTACTGTCTTTATACTAGAATAGTACCAGTTAGGACCAACCCCAGTTGGATTTTGGTCTACCCCATTACCTTCAATTTCAAAACATGATGCTTTGTACACCTTCATTTGTGAGAGTGGAAACATATTCAGCATACAGACAATACAATCTGGAGTTTCATACCTTCCAGCCCTCGTTCCAGCCTGTATAGTACGGTCGGGGATAGAATCGATTATACAAGACATTGCTCTTTTGTCTTGTATATCCCAGGCGTTGAGAAGTTCCATTTTCTCAAAGTAAAATTG